ACTAGTTCGGAAAAAATATGCGGGAGATTCAAATTTTTCCCGAAGATTTCCGATGAAAAGTACTGGAAATATTTTACAGCCCCCGATTACGATTACGATTACTTCCACTGAAAAGTTCGTATCCACATTTTTCCCTGATTTCTCGATAAATAAAATATAATAAATAAAAAAAAAATAAAATAAAATAAATAATAAAAAAAAATGTTGACATGACCTTCGACCGAACGCATCCAATTTACATTAAATAATTTTACTCCAAGAAGATGGCGCACTAATATTATATCAACAGAGAAATAATTCTTCATTCAATCTATTCTTTATTCTTTCTTCCAATTAGATGGCGTATCATTCAAACTGAAGGGCTGCATCCTAACGATGTCCTTCCTGGATTGCAATGGTGCACTCATACCTAATGCATTTGAATCGTGGAAAGACGATAGCGTAGACGGTAAAAGCAGCAAGAGTAAGTCAATAAACAGCAGTAGAATGTCACCGCTGTTGAATGCACAAGCTGTCGGTGGAGCTGAAGGTTTCGAGGATCAGCAATTTCTGGTGCTGACGTCTGAAAAGCAAGCAAAGGTTGTGGCCCTACCTTCCCAGAATATTGTTTACAGACAGCAATTGAGTGAGACACACGCTGTTATCAAAGCAGAAATTACGACCTTGAAAGGTAACGTCAAAATATTTTTTTTCATTTATCAGATTTTACATTCTTTCAGTCCTTTAGTTATTTATTACCAGATCAACATTCTGCTCTTGTGGTCAAATAAATTTTCATCAAGAAATAAATTGTGGGAGTTTTATCATGTGAAAGAATAAAATCAAATGTATTGAGAAAGCCTCGGTGGCCTGGCGTAGTGGTTAAGGTCGTTGCCTCACAACGGATAGGTTCCAGGTTCGATTCCTGGCCGGGTAGAATGGTGAGATCTAACCAGCTTTAAAAAGTCCTGATCAATCGCTACATAGTCTCCTCCGACTCGATACGATGTAAAATAAGCATTAAAAAAATACACTGAAAAAAAGTGTTCATTGCGTATGTGCTTCATTGACTGAAATTTGCGAAGAATTCATTTTCGTTACATAAACGGAATTTTTGCATCGAAAATTCTCCTTTAACAATCATCTTATGCCAAACGTAAACAATTGTATCTTTCCATCACTGATCTATTTTTATTTTCATTGCAGATAGCGTATGTCTTATGTGTTACGTATCGAATGGGCACGTTGCGACTTACAGTTTACCAAGTCTGAGGCCCTTAATCGACGTTGATTTTCTACCATTACAAGATCTGAGGTAAGAAACGTTAAGTCT